CCCCAAAACCCCAAAACCCCAAAACCCCAAAACCCCATTTGAATGATATTTGACATATTTTCAAGAATGAATTATGAAATTAAGATTAGCTTTTATCAATTAATATAATTTCTCATAGATTATTCTAGCTTTAATGCTTTCTAAAAGAATTATTTCCAAGTTTTATATTAGGTAGATGCAAATTATGATCAATGTTAGTGCTTAATTGGATTCTTTCTATATATCTTTAACTAAGAACTGGATTGAGATAGTCTGGATCATTCTTTGCCATTAATCCATATTTCCTTTCTTATCTTTCAAAGTCTGTTAAGCTCTCTAGTCTTCTTTTCTCTTCAAGATTTAATCTGTATTTCTTAAGGATTTTAGTTGTATTAAGAGAATTATCTTGTATAGATTGATTAGTAGTTGTTGGATTTGATGAAATTTTATCATCCTGAGCTTTCTTTTCTTAAGCTATACGCTTTTCACCTTGATTTTCAAGTCTTTTATTTTTCTTCTTTACCTCAAGGAATGTTCTTAAAACATCATCTGCAAGTTAGTTCAAGCTAAACTGCTAATCTGGCTTATCTCCTTGTCCTTCAATAGTAATCATATAAGAACCCATATCTTATACTCCGTTATTATTTTTACCTTCAGCTGCAAGTGCTGGAACATCTTTAATAAATCCTTTAGTGTTCTCAAATTTCTTAACTTTCTGAGAAACCTCTTTCATTTTATCATGATGCTTCTTATAAGCTTCAAGTCTATCAAATGTTGCATAGTCTCTTCTATCTTAATCTTCAACATCATTCACACTCTCAACAAATTAAGTTTATTGCCCAAATTTCATTCTCTATAGAAAAATTAACTAACTAACTATAAATTACATATTCCTTAAGCCTTCCCTTGAAATACTTGAAATCTTAATCTTAATCAAAGATATTAGAAAGAATTTCATCACACTTGATTCTATTAAGTTCTTAAATTTGATTATCTTCCATTTTTTCTTCCTAAGCAGGATCATTCATGTCCTTGATAGATTTCCTGACTAGAGATTCTACTTAGTCTTAAAATGTATTTCTGGTTGATTTGCTGTCTCTCCTGGATTAAACACCAGTTTTCACTAATTTAAATATGATTAACTTTATAGATATACTTACAAACATTAATAAAATCTATAGGAGAAATATTTGGATCAGGCATTAATCTTTTCTTCAGATCGTTAAAAGTCTTTTGATTGATTTTGATTCCAGCATTTTATTTCTCATGCCCTCTCAGATAAGCCTTAATTTTATCAATCATCTCTTCATAGTTGTTTCTTCTTTCATTATACTGTAATCCAATACTAACTATCTTATCATAGTCTAGTAATTCTAAGGTAGCTGCAATCTTGATATTTTCAATTCTATCTCTAGGTGATAAGTCAAATAATTTTTCTGATATTAATGAGAAGCAATTATCCTTAACTGTATTAACCTCTTTTTCGGAAATGTCAATTCTTATATCATCTCTACTATCTTCACTTATTCTTTCCTCAATACTATTCTGTCTTTTTAGTGTATCGGCTTCCAACTTATTTTGCTGTAACTTATTAGTACCGACCTTAGCTACTTTAAAAGTGCTCTTTTTTGATAATCCATTCTTTGGTGTATTCTCCCCTACATCTTTAATTTATGATAGAGCACTTTTTCTCTTTGAATCACTTCCTTGCACTGATTCATTTTTTCCTTTCTTAGTAGTTTTTCTTACTCCTTATGCTAATATTTTCATTACTGACCCAGTGCCTCCTGTTTTGATAGTACTTTCAACTTCAGTTCTATTACTCTCTTTAGATGATTGTCCTGGAATATTTGACTTGGTCTAATCATTACTTTATTCTGATTGCTGTTCATTGATCTTTTTGTTAAGAGATTTTGAGAGTCTATCTTTTAGATTTGAAGGTTTCATATCTTAATTTCTAGACGATTAAGCCTACTTTTCTTTATATTTATTCATCATAATAGCATCTCTAGATTTTATATCTTTCCTGCCAATACTCCTATTTGAATAATTAGATATATTTTCATCTTCCTCAGTTAAGTTTACTCTGTTTTCTCCTCCTTAAATAGGTGATAAAATTTCACCATCTCTGTTGTAGTTAACTCTTATTTTTTCATTTTAAAATGGACTTTTAAATTCTCCATTGTTCATCTGTAAATTATTAGAATTCATAGATTCGAAACTCTGCTTCTCTTGCTAATTGTTGCTGTTTTGTGTATAATTGTTTTCAGAATCAACTCCAACACCTCCTTTATTATTATTTTTTTACCTTTAAGGTAATTTTCTATTACTATCTGAACCTTTACTTGGACTTTGATCTTCGGTTCTAATTAGGTCATCATTATTTCTAAACAGTGCCATACTCTTCATTTCTGATTAGTCTGCTGAGCCTCCCAAACCACCAGCTAAGTCACTTTTATCCTCTATACTTTACTCAAGATCATGCTCCATAATAATATCTCTCTCATTTTTTAGATTTTAATTTAATCTTCTGTCAGTTTTAACTGTCAAATCCTTTTGATTTAGCTTATTACTATTCTATCCTCCAGTATTCCCAGCTTTCCCTTTATTTTATCCTTCGTTTAGTGATGACTACTATTAAAGTGCTAATAATGATTTTTCAGTTGCGAAACTTTAAAATTGTTAACTATTAGATTAACTCATAGATGGTATTTGGCTTAAATCTATTCCATCATCTTTGTTATGCGATTCAGATTAAGCTTTTTATAGGTTTAACTACTACTAACTTTGGTTTGGAAGTAGTTTTTGAATTACTCTTTTTGTATTAGCGTTTTATTTTTGTGATCTAGTTATATTTATATTGTCACCACCATTCTGCCTTTTTTGTTCTCTTGACCCCTACAATGAATCAGATACTGAATTCGGTCTACTAATTCCATTTTCATTCAAATCCTTTTGTCCGTTATCATTAATAACTATCTTTCCATTTTTCCTTTATCTAGCCCCTCTTGAGCCGGTTTTGAACTAACTTTTGTTATTTAATTTCCCACCTCTATCTGAATACCTGTCACCTTCTTAGGAATTACCTTTACTATCATTTCTTTAATTAAGTGTAGATGTCCCATCTTCTTATGAAAAATTAAGAGCATCTTTTTGTAATGTATTTGGTGACTTTCCCCTATTTTTCAATTAATTTTAAGGACCTATCTTCAGAACTATATTGATATCGTTGTTACTTTAATACTAAGAGCCTGGCCTGTTATCCTAATCTTATCCATTCTAAATGTTTTAGTTATTATTTTGATTATAGCCATAGCTTTCTTCTTTCATTTAGTACTTCTAAACCTTCTTTTACTTCTTAACCTTGTTATTTTTCCACTAATAAGAATTTTTCTAAATTTCCATGAAAGTACCTTCTGGACAAACTTTACTAAGAGCATCTACTTTATCCATCCCTTTATCTAGCAAATCGATGCATTGATTGAGCTTTCTAAATATCCATTTTTATAAAATATTCTCTTTAACATAATTTTCAATCTGCTTCTTATGTATTTAGTCCTACTCTTCCTTTATTTATTAGAAATGTAGCTATGGCTAGGTCTTTTTACTTTTTTACTTTTGCTCCAACTTTTCTTATTTCTTAATATCTTATGTTTCTTAAACTCTTTATTGCTCAATAGTGTACTTTTTAAAAATTTCTTCGAATATTTCTATTTCTTTAGCATTTTTCTACTCTTTTTGCTATTTTATCTTCAATTTTGCCATCTCTTCTTTTATAAATTTCTAATGCCTATTTTAGTCTCTGATTTACTAAACCTATCTTTACTTTTCCTCTATTTTATTTCTTTATTTCTCTTCTTATCTTTGCTTAATATAATCTAAAAGCACTTTCTTTAATTCATCTTTTGATAGTGCCTCAACATCTAACTAATTTTCATCAAAGTATGAAAGTAAGTCCTCAGGATCTACTTTAAAGTTAAAGAAGTTTTCAATGTACGTGATATTATCCACATTCATCTGATTCTTAGTAGCAACGAAATGAGGTTGTTCCTAAGATCTAAAAGAATTCTAATCGGATTATTGATTTTGAATTAGAATCTATAACTCCTACTTTTCTTATTACCTTTGATAATTTTCAATGTCATCTTTGTCTTCCTCAATTGATTATTCATTGATAATCTTGGAGTTAGGCTCTGTTGATACTTATTCCAAACTTGAATTAGGTTTTTAATTTGGATTTATATACTAAATTTAGACCTATTAACTTCTTTGCTTTTGCTCGTTGTGATTGAAGAGTTTCGTTGCATGACTCTAAATCATAAGATCATTTGTTTTTATTTAATGACTATTATAGTTGGAAATAAGACTTTAACTCTTGAATCTCTGAGTCCTTAACATTTTCGGCTTTTAACTCTCTTTTACTTAGTTTAGCTTTTATTGATATACTTACCAAAAATGTTTGACATCTACAAGTTAAGTAGGATTGGATACTTTTATGATAATAGTAGAATTTACTGTATTCAACTAGCCAGAAAGATCAAGTTAGCTTTGCTATTCAGATGCTGGCTGCGGTGGCTCATTCTTAATGTGACTTGTATTCACATCAGAACCAATTGTTCCTTATAGCTTTGGAATTCTAATTGACTACATTTCTCTTAATGAGTCTTGCATAAGTGGCCTTAAGACTTCCTATTATAACCTTTGATTTGAAAAAACTCTTCGTTTTTATCCAATTTGTGGCTATTTACCATTTAATATATTTTCAGCGTCTATTGCCAAGATATGCGACGTGTCTGTTGGATTCAAATTTTATGCCAGACTCATAGTATTAGAAATCTTTGAGGCACTATTATCTTACAATTTATCAGATTCAGTCATCATCTTTGAAGTTCCTTAATCAGAAGTTAATTTTTCAAATATAATAGGCTTGTTTTTTCTTTTTGGGAAATTTTCAGGTGATGTATTATCAATTCTTTTTATTCGATCTGGACTCTTTATTTATTTTTCTAAAGAGTCAGCTTTATTTCCACTATCTGTTTATCCTCCTTTGGGCTATCTGCTCATAAACTACTCATTCCTTTTCATGCTTAAGGGTGGCTATCTTATAGAATTTGAATCAGAGTTAATGATTAGGGGTTCATCATATCTTGTAATAATGCCACTTTGGAACCCTTTAGTTTACTCTGGAGAATTTTTTCTTGACGTTAGCATCCCATGCTTAAAAATATAGTATGTCTGGTCTTGCTTTTTTAGTAAGTCCTCTCTGCTCTTTAATTAATCTCTAATGGTAACTAATTCCTTTGAATAATCATTTACAGTAATTTAGGGAAGTTTAATATGAAATCCAACCTTTTGTAAACTAGCCATTGATGAAGATTTAACAATCATTTGAGGAGGCTATGGATGCTATCGTTCAGTTTGATATCCCACATTATGAGTAACATCAATCCTATTTTAACTCTATCTATTTTGACTTTCAAATTCTACTCTCTTTGCATCTATTTTAAGGCTTGGTATTCCCTCATCTATTATCTTTTATTACTGAGCCCTGAATGTCTATGCTAGGTTTTTATTCTTATCTTCAGGCATGCTTATCAATCCCATCATAAGTGAAGGATTATTTTTCCTCTTTTAATTCAAAACCTTGAGCTCTAAGGTCTTCAAATGAATATCTTTTGACATCATTTCTTTGAGCATATTATTATTAGAGTTTAAAATCTCTGAGTTGATTCACTTATTTTTGTCCTTCAGTTTTTATAGTTCCCTAGCTGCTTTGTCTTTATCATTTAGTTGCTTTGCAGATTGAAGAATTTGTTCTCTAGTAGCTTGTTTTAAGACTTTGAGATACTAAAAGTCTAAGTTAAGTTAAGTAAGCAGCAGATCTCTCTCGAAGTCAGAAATACTGTTAGATTGAGTATTCTTTCTAGTGAAATAATGATATTCTAGGTCGAGCAACCTCTAAGAAAGAGTATCAAAGCTGTTGTTAACCATAAAATTATTTAGAGAAGCTAAAAACAATGGCCTTCTAGATTAAAAATTGGTAGTATGTTTGATACTAAGCAAGACTTCTCTATTATTAACAGGGGAGTTTTCTTGTGATTAGTTATTAGTACCAGGACTATCTGTCCCACAAAAATTAGTGGATTTATAATATTAGATATCTTCTTGTGTCTAATTTTTCCTCAAAATTTCATGCTTCAAAGAAAGGATCAAATCCATATTTTACTTATTAGGCTAGAATCTTCTTTCCCCTTCAAATTATTTAGCCTCATGAATAGACTTCCTAATATTTGCTATCTGCTTGCTAATTTCATAAGAAAAGCATTCCCACTCGTACTAAATATCTTCATTATATGATCTGTAAAATGGGGCAGATCTAACTTCTGTCTCATATACTCTGGTGTTTCCAATAAGCATAATCCTATCTATGTTTTGACTGAAAATTCCAGCTTGCAATATCTGATCACTGAAAGATATCACAGATTTGAATTCATTATTAAAGTAGATTGCTTTGAGAGGTCGTTCACAATCTAAGAACCAAACGCAAACTATTTTTTCTCTGCAAAGTGAAACGAATTAACGATTATTATTCTTGGGCTAGTTGAGGGACACAATTTACTCTCTATGAAAATTGTGAATTTAAAATTTTCTCTCCAGACTATTCGTCTTTTTAAAATCCATGTCTATTTATTGACTGGTAATTATACCTCTATCATGTCCCATCAACAAGGTTTAATCTCCAGTTTAACTAATAAAAGAGGCAGAGACATCTTCCCACTGAGTTCGAATATATCTTTTAATTGTAAATGATTCAGTCTCAATCTCTCTAACAGAGCCATCTCTGCAGATAGCATACATTTATAATCTGTATTTGAAGTAGAAGATATTAGTTATCTTTTCGTTAAAGGGAATCTTATTCTTAAAGCTGGTAGTATTAGCTTTATTGTCATTTCTAATCTCAATCAAGTCATTTTCACAAACAAATATCACTGAGAAATTTGGATCAGCTGAGAAGCTTAAGTCATCAACATATGCTCTCTTGACTTACAATAGCTTCTAATAATCACTCAATGTAACTAAATAAAAATTTAACAAGTTTAGATTAACCTTACAATTCTAATGAGAGGCTTTCTTGACTAAATAATAGGAATTATCGTGGTTATCTTTTTCGATTAACTTAATCTTTGAAAGAGTACCTTACAGACCAAATAATAGGAATTTTCTAACCATAGTAAATAGATTTACAATGGCTATCATACCATCAGAATTATAAAAAGCTAGAATTCCAATATCGAGATCAATGTCTGCATGAAGAATTTTAGCACTAATGAAGTTCTCATAATTCGCTGATTTAAATTTAGATGATCTCTTCATTGATGGACTCTCATCATCACTGTTATTTGCTCTTTGATTTCCATTAGGGGATTATGGGCCAGCAGCATCTATACACTTTGAAAGTATATCATTTGCTGATATTTTGAGATAACTACTATCACTGGTGATAATCTAATAGCCACCACCTCTCTATTCATCTTCAACTCTTAGTTTATCTAATCTCTAGAATATAATTTCTCCATTGTTGTTGTGAAATCTTAAGAATTCCTTATTATCATCTGCGTTAATAGAAATATCTTCTCTAAAAGTCCTCATTATTTTTTCATCTTGCTGAGTAGATTTCATCTCATATATTGGATAAGCAGGCTAAAATAACTCAATAATATCAATAGTTTAATCCCTCAATATATAAAGCTATCTACATCCATTTTCAATTTGAAGATAATAGAGTTTATAAGCATCTTATAACATATGGTAATCATCGTCTTAAACTGAATGAGGATATAGTTATTCAAGCTCTTTCATCTTTCCTCTCTGTTGATGGAGGAAAAACTATGATACTACATTCTTGATCATAGGGGGAGAGGTTGGACCTTCAAATTCATCAATGTTTAAAGATATCTGTGCTCTCTCATTTAAGTTGTAGGCAAAAGAGAATATCTTTCCTTAAGCTATTGAGAACTCATAAATTAGTCCTTGATCATTAAGCAGTAAGATACCCCCTGAATATATATCTACAGCACATTCCACAAATAATTACACGATGGGGCCTTTAATTTGCTTCATATGTCTGACCATCAAGAGTTCGCATCTAACTAAATCCCAAATTACTAGTTTCTTTGTATTATTGCTATAAACCAAAATGAACTCCTAATATGTTGTAGTAACATTATAGTTGAATTTCCTATTTTCCGAAGGATTTTACTGCTAAACTATTTGGCTCTTTGTAGCAGATGCGCCTTGTTTATTAGCAAAATCTTTAGTGAAGGAAGAACCTGAAAATTCTTCCTTTCCATTTTCAATCTTAGAGTAATCATCCATTGAGAAGTTGTAAATTATCACACCCTCGTTTGAGTTCCACACAGATATCTCATTCACACTACTGGATTAAACTACCATAATGTCCATTTCACTTATAATGTTTAGCTGGAACAATCCCAGATTGAAATAAATGTTTTTTCTATTGCTGATTGTAACATCGAATGACTAGAATTTTCGAAGATGCCTATCACTGTTGAATTTCTTAGGAACTCTATCAGAAATCTCATAAACCCAAATCCTCACCTGTTTATAATCTTTTGTAATTGTTAGTATTTCTTCGCTCTTTTGATTTACTTTTATGTCTATTATTCCATTTGAATCTGCAGCAGGGTCTGTTCCCTTGTCCATGTGTGAGTTAAAGAAAAGCAGTTGCTTTTTATTTTTAACTGTTACCCAACAATTTTTCATAATAAGAGGTTATATGTTTTCAATAGTGTACAGCTCTGATTTACCAGTGGGCTCATTGAGAATGTCTGAAAAAGTTCTTACTGTGGTAACTTTGCTCTTTGGAATTGAAAAAAGACATAAACTTTGATTAGTTTGGTACATTATTTATTTACTCATGTAATTGAGACCCATGTATTATATAGGCAAAGGCTGCACTTATTAGCCCTCTCCTGACTTCATGGACTTTGGTGATGTTGGGAGATTCGGGTTAGGAGGAGGCTTTACAGCGATTTGCGTCTCTTTGATTGGCAATAAGCATTGATACTTAAAACGTTGCAACTTTTCTAGGCTGCCTGGCTTCTATTCATCTTATTACTATCTTCTCATCCCAAGTAATGCACCAAGTCCTGACATCATACTTGGCTTTTCAGAAACTGGTTATGATATAGTTGCTAAACTAAATGCTCCAAGCCCAATTTTTCCTTTTAAAGGATTCTCTTCTTAATTCATTTTATTTAAAGATTATGAAATTACAAATTATTTAAGGGAATATAATAATCATCATTGTTAAATGTAAGTTTAATTCAATCGGCTTCTGATATATGCTTGTTATTCTTACACCCTGGGTTGCATTAAGCACATCTCCAGCAGCATGAGTAATATTCTATATTTCCACATCCCTTGCAGCTGTAATATTTCATTCTTCCAGAGTGGTATACACAAGCATTTTCATGATTATCAGATTATTTGTAATCTTTTTTACAGTTAACGCACCATTTGCTTTGGTTTTTGTGCTGAATTATACTTGAAGAGGCCTCCTTCAAATGCTACTGTTCTTAATCTAGCAAATTTACTTGATATTCCAACTGCTTCATTTATCTTATCTAATCAACTAATTCATCCATGACATCGATACCAATGTCATCATTCAAGTTGAATTCTCCTAAGAGTGAATTTTTAACTTTAAGGGTTTCATCCTCAAGGTTAAACACAGTCTTGCTTTTACATTCTTTGAAAAACTTGAGAAGATTGACCTACATACTAGCTCTTTCTAAATCTGCTGAGTGAGACACTTACTGATTTTTAAGCTGCAATATCTCTTATTAGACTCCATATACTCTCTACTCCTCCTCTTTAAGATGAACAACCAGCTAGTTAATTTGCAATTTCAACTCATCATTTTCCTTGGTGCTGTCATCGATATTTTTGTTGTAAATTTCTAAAATCTGCCTCACTTCATCCTCAGTGAGTGTGCTTTCCTTATCCCTATCCACCATCACAAGAGGCAAGATAGGTTGATCTTGAACCAAAACCTAATCAGCCATAATACTGGATGATTAGTTGTGTTGGGTAGTCCGGTTAAGGAACTAATGATTACTTTAAAATGGAAGCAAATTATTTTCATCGTGAATTATCACTGGTTCCCCTGCCAAGTAATCATCTCCCTCGTGATGGTTGTTCGAGACTGAAGCTGTAGATGAGAGCTGCCCATTCGGCAATAATCCCCTTTAACCTGACATCATACTTGAAATAGCTCTAATATTACGCCATAAGGAGTCCCTTGCAGAAGTCATCGGAGAGGTTCTACTCTCTATATCTCTATAGCTTTCCATTTAAATTCTAATTTACTTTTGAATTTTCATTAATTCTTAGTTTCCTTGATTTAATTATTCACCTAATGTTAACTTTCAATATCGTCAATAGGGGTTTTGGGGTTTTGGGGTTTTGGGG